GCCGTCCGACTGTACCCAGAGGTGCCCGACGTCCTGCAGCGGTTGCGGGACCTTGACGTGCCCATGGCGGCCGCTTCACGGTGAGGAGAGCGACTGGAAAACGCTGCCGGTCTCACGCTGAGAGACGCAGGCAGGAGACGTCTCGCGTAACTCCGGGGCTACAAAAACTTCGGCGGGGCAGATTTGCATGTATTTGCATATCGTTGTCATTGGACCCTCTCCTGTGCCTTTAATTTATTAAACATTGGCTCAGCCGCCGCCTGTGTCAGACGGGAAGCATAGGGAGTTGAATGAGGACCGAGGATGCCTCCCTATCCTGGAAAAATAGCAAGTTGATTTCCCCCCTGGTTAAATATAACTTGGCTTGCAGCTCTGGCCCTCCGGATCCCAGCTATGACACCTTCTTGCAGGACAGGGGAGATCGAAGGGGCCAACCAGCTTCTGGAGCTCTTTGACCTTGACAGATACTTTGCTCATCGGGAAATCTATCCAGGCAGCAAGGTCACCCACTTTGAGAGGTAGGTGGAGATAAGGGTAGAAGTGGGGAGACCAGAGAGGCTGAAGGAGCTAAGAAGCCGGCGGGGCCGCTCCCTGCCCCTCCTTGCACAGGTTGCAGCGGAAGACTGGAGTTGTTTTCTCCCAGATGATCTTCTTTGATGACGAGAAGCGGAATATCGTAGACGTCAGCAAACTGGGTACTGAGTGGTAAGATTAGCCCTTTGGGGAATGAGGAGAAAGGGTTCGGATGAGGGGTTAGGTAGGTATGTACGGGATGGATAATTTGCATGACAATATTTGGGTGACACCCAAAAAAGGTGAGAGGAACAACAGGCCTGATGAAATGTGGCTTTTTTTTTTTTTTTCCTTTCTAGGAGTTACCTGCATTCATGTCCAGAATGGAATGAGTCTTCAAACCCTAACTGAAGGACTAGAGACATTTGCAAAGGCCCAAGCTGGGCCCTGAGGTCCAGTCTTGTGGATGAGCCTCATTTGAGGCATAAAAGGAAATCCGGAAGGCATTCTCAGATGTATTTGTAAATTATTAAAGCATGTTTGTGTGTGACAGAAGAAGTCCTCCGGCATGTTTCTATTCGTCTAGCGTTGTAGCCGGCCTCGGCTATCCGGAGGTGCCAAGAGCAGAGCGCGCGGCGTTAGTCTTCATCAGGTTGGGCCATAGAAACTTGTGGCACACCCGACTGTGACCCCCACCCCTTGTGCTCGCCCCATCCGCACTCCGTTTCCTGAGCTCTGCCAAGGGCCCGAAGAACTCTTCCACTGGCCCCAAGCAGTGGGACGCGCGACCCTGCACACTCCCTTCCAGGAAAACAAACACTGTGTTTTGGGGTGGGGGTGCGGCGGCCTTTTTATAGCCAAAAGTGAAGCGGCCGCTTTAAGTGGAGCGAGTGGGTTGGGGGCTGGTGGCTCGGGTCACGTGGTAGAAGTGGCCTCGTCGGCTCCAGTTGATGATGTCGCGGCGGTGCCCCAAGGAGGGATTGGCCCAGGCGGGTCTCGGAGCGCCGAGGCCGCACCCTCCCAGAGCAAGGCGGAAGTTGCCCGACGCCGTGGGGCGGAGGCGGGAGAGGCGAGGGTGGCGATGAGTGGGCTCGGCAGACTCTTCGGGAGGGGTGAGCCGGGGCGAGGCTGGCCGCGGGGGTGTGGGGGAAGGCCGTGGACGCGGGCTGTCCCGAGAACCCCATGCGCGGCCTAGCGAGGCCTCCTCACGTGCCAGGAGGCCCCGCCTTGTTAGGGAGCCTGGCTCCGGCTGCCTCCCCTCCCCCGCCCCAGAGAGAAGAGCTGGGGGCCGGCCCGGGACGGGAGCGGAGGGTCCCCACTGTTCAGGCGGGGAGGAGGGGTTGAGTTTCTGCCCGTCCTCATCTAGTCCTTTCCAAAACACTGGTGCTTCCTTTATGCTGGCCAAGAGGGCATCTGAGGTGATGAAGAAAGATTGCCTACTTAAAGCACCTATCTGGTGGGGCAAGACAAGCCAAAACTGACATATACAGTGTCGTGTAGCAACTCCATGATGGAGATGGACCTACCACCCAGGGAAGCACAGAAGCAGCGTGGGGGGGGTTGTGAGCCAGAAGGCTGGAGGTATGCCGGGTGGAGAATTGAGGTTGTCCAGGACGATGTAACTGTGTGCAAAACAGGCAGGAAAGAGTATGGTGTGTGTAGGGGAACGGACTGTGTGTGTGTGTGTGTGTGGAGGTAACAAAGGCCAGATCAAGAAGGGCCTTGTATGTCTTATTCAAGTTTTGGGTTTTATCCTGTAGGCAATAGAGAGTGTGGAAGGATTTTAAGCAGGCAAGGGCCATCGTTTTTTTAGGAGTGCAGAAGATGAAGGGGAAAATTGAGATCAGATTTTTTTTTTCTCTAGCCCCTGTACTTCATTCAGTTTGATCCTGTGGAGTCAGGACCTTGAGCATCTGCTAGGACAGCAAGTGCAACAGTGATTATAAAAAGTGACCAAACTCTGGTGGGGATGTGATAGTGGGGCGGCTGTGCATGTGTGGGGGCAGGGGGTGTATGGGAACTCTGTACCTGACACTCAAGTTTGCTGTGAACCTAAAACTGCTCCGAAAAACAAAGTCTATTATTTTAAAAAAAGGCCTGGAAATGATTTGAAAGGCAGCTTGGAATAGCAAACGAATACTGGATTTGAAAGTCATACTGCCACATTTCGATTACTCCTCTATTCTTACTAGCTGTGATTTTATTTATTTATTTATTTGACAGACTGAGACACAGCGAGAGAGGGAACACAAGCGGGGGAGTGGGAGAGGGAGAAGCAGGCCTCCTATGGAGCAGGGAGCCCGATGCGGGGCTTGATCCCAGGACCCTGGGATCATGACCTGAGCCGAAGGCAGACACCCAACGACTGAGCCACCCGGGTGCCCCTAGTTGTGATTTTAAACAAAAACAATTTAACATCTTTGTGCCCTTTTCCGTATTTGTAAAGTGAAGATAGTACATTCACTGTAGAGAGTCCTTTTGGGATTAACAATAATGCAGTCAAGTGCCTAGCACATACTATGCACTTAGTAACTGGTGGCTGGTATTTTTCCTCCACACAATATGGGCCTGCTTGATTGGACTCCAGGGAAGAAGGAGAAGGGGCCAACCCCTGAAGAGGCAATACAGAAACTGAAGGAGACAGAGAAGATACTGATCAAGAAACAGGAGTTTCTGGAGCAGAAGATTCAACAGGAGCTACAAATGGCCAAGAAGCATGGGATCAAGAATAAGAGAGGTAATGGGGGAGAGGTGCCAGTAGGGTGGGCCCAGGTAGGAAGCAAGGGCTTCTGGCTCTGATATTCAAGGTGTGTGCTGGGTCAGCCGCCCTACAGGCTTTGCGGAGGAAGAAAAGATTGGAACAACAGCTGGCACAAACCGATGGGACATTATCCACCCTGGAGTTTCAGCGTGAGGCCATCGAGAATGCCACCACCAATGCAGAAGTGCTTCGTACCATGGAGCTTGCTGCCCAAGGCATGAAGAAGGCCTACCAGGACATGTGGGTACGGGGGGAGGGAAGCAGGGGGCCCAGGCGCTGGGGAAAGTAGCTTGGTATTGTACTTTGAATGTTAAAACCTCTCAGAATGTGAATTTACATTATAGACGTGCCTATGACAGCTAGACCTCTGTCGGTCTCCTTGCTTCCTGTAAGATCTCTTTGCTGGCTAAAGCATTATAAGGAAGAAAGATGATTTAAGACCCTTCAGAGAGGGAAGTGCAGCCTATCCTCCCCGGTGTGGCTTCTTACCAATCCTCAGGCCCCCTTGCCTCTGTACAATTTCCCAGGGACCTCTTCTACCTGATAGCTGTGGATCTATCAGCCTGAGGCCACAGATAGGAGGGGCTTCACTCAGGCAAGACAGGAGAGTCAGGAGGGTTGTTGCCTGATTTCTTGGCTGTATATCTTGTTCTCAGGGACATTGACAAGGTGGATGAACTGATGGCTGACATTACAGAACAACAGGAGGTGGCCCAGCAGATCTCGGATGCCATATCTCGGCCTGTGGGCTTTGGAGACGTTGTGGATGAGGTGATTGGGACTGAGGGGTCAGGGAATATGGGAGAAAGCAGGAGACCAGCCAGAAGGAATGCCCAAGAGGATCATGGGGCAAGTTTGGGGGAGGAGAGGGACTCCAAAAGTGGTATGTTTTTGGGAGTAGAAGTTCCCTTTCTTCATCTTTTTTTTTTTTTTTTAAGATTATATTTATTTATTTGAGAGAGAGAGCATGAGATCACGGGAGGGGAAGGGCAGAGAGAGAGGGCAGAGTCCTAAGCGGACTCTGATGAGCTTGGAGCCCAACATGGGGCTCGATCTCACAACCTTGAGATCAGGGCCCTGAGATCACAACCTGAGCTGAAATCAAGAGTCTCACGCTTAACCAGCTGTGCCACCCAGGCGCCCCTCATTTCTTCATCTTAAACAGTTTTATTGTTCCATATCCAGGATGAACTGTTGGAAGAGCTAGAGGAGCTGGAGCAGGAGGAATTGGCCCGGGACTTGTTAACTGTGGGTGACAAGGAGGAAGAACCCCCCATTGAACTGCCCACTGTACCCTCTACACATCTGCCTGCAGGACCAGGTACTCAGGGCTATTCTGTTGTCTTAAGGACTTGAGGAGGTGGGATAGATACGGGGAAAGATTATTCCTCTTACATCCTGCTTCAAAGGAACCAGGCAGAGAGGGCTGCTGCTACCGTTGCACAGGTTGTTGACTGCATAAGGGCACCTGGCTGAACAGGAATGAAGACTAAAGTCCAGCTTGTGCCTCATTCAGCAAGCTGGGTACCCTGGTGTAGGGCTGCAAGTTCTGGGAGAGAGAAGCACATTTTCTTAATTTGTACAAGGGTGCCCTGGGAGTTAGCAGCAGCCCAGCAAGCAGAAGGACCACACCTTTAGGTTCTTTGCTGGGGAAAGAAAATTCAGCAGACTTTCAGTGTTCTAGCAGGGGATTGTTGGAAGTTGCTACCGCCCTAACGTTTCTTTCTTTCTCTGGGTATCCTTGTCCCTGAAGCTCCTGAAGCAGATGAAGATGAAGAAGCACTAAAGCAGTTGGCTGAGTGGGTATCCTGATAAGTCTGGGCTTGTTTTCCCAGTGCTGCCTTCATTGGTCTCTTTTCCTTAAGTGCCAAGTGCTAAGCTAAAGGAACATAGCCTTTTGGGGAGGTCCTGCTGAGGGTGATAGTGTGACCCTGCCTGAAAAGGGGTTGTCGCCCTCCCCTCCCTGGCTCAACTCTGAAAAAGGACCTTGGTGCGAGAGGAGCCCCTGGGCTCCCTTCTCTGATAGCAGTTACAGTGCCCTTGTTCCCAATAAAATCGGGCAGATGGAACCATAGTGCTTATACTGCCTCGTCTACACCTGAAACTCTTCCCTGGCCTTTGGAGCTTTGTTTCAAGCAATGAATCACAATGGGAGTAATGAAGGGAATAACGAAGTATTGGAACAGAGAACAAATGGGAGTTGACAATATCTTGACCTACTATGTTCTAGGTAGGTACTATTTCATCTTTCAAGTTGGTTTGTCCTAGAGTTGCCTAGTGCTGAGGTTCAGCACAAGTATTATTTATCTTCGACCCATATGGAGCTGTCTCTGAGTCTTCTCTCATTGCTTTCCCCCAATCATGCCTCTGCCAAGACAGCCCCATGATTTACTACTCATTTTCCTTTTACAAAGCCCATTTTCAAGGACAGGGAGGGAGAATATAGGGATGAAGGAGCAAGTAGCTTTCCTTTATTCAGAACCCACAGTAAATAGGCTTGTTTGAACTGTCATTTCGGTTTCTTTCTTTTTTTTTTTTTTAAGATTTGTTTACTTATTTTGAGAGAGCGTGGAAGCAGGAAGGGCAGAGAGAGGAGAAACAACCCCAAGCTGACTCCCTGTTGAGCGCAGAGCCTGATTCGGGGCTCAGTCCCACGACCCCGAGATCATGACCCAAGCTGAAACCAAGAGCGAGACGCTCAACCAACTGTGCCACCCAGGCGCCCTTGCCATTTCTAAGAGCAATCGATGAGGGACCATGATTCACTGGGATTGTTCCAATAGTGGTTAAGGTGGCATCTGGAGAAGGGAGAAGGAACCAAGATATTTCACACATCCTGATGCCCATTTCAAAGAGAACAAATAATGCCATCCCTTCGGACTGTAAACAGAGGCAGAACCATAACCAAATAGCAACCGGGGCCCCTTTCCCACTGCTTGAACATTTAGAGTGCACAGAGATGTAAAATAATGAGCATTTACTTAGCCAGAATAATGAAGCTTCCCCAAAGTGCGTGTTTATGCCAGCACCCTCTCCTCCATGAGCCGCGTATGAGCTACATTGTGAATTACCCTATTGACTTACAGACATCAAGGTGACTGGTTACAGACTCTGGTTAGAAATCCACCTCTTGGTCTCAGTAGGGTTCCCTGCTAAGGTTCCCCTGAAGAAAGAATGTCTTTGACCCCAGCTGATGAAACTAAATCAGAAATAGATTTATTTTTGGTATAAAGGATTTTTAGCCCCAGACCCTCCTGCTTTGCTCCTCTCCCAACCCCTTCCTTCAACCATTTTTAGGTATTGATTTCCAAGGATTGGTGCCGATTAGTGGTGCTGGGGGGTTGGCACATGGCCTCAAGCAGCCTGATCTCCTGGGTGGGTTGCTCAGGCTGGAACTTGAGCACCCAAGGATCCTTGATGATGTCCAGGATGGTGGCACGCTTGGTGGCTTGGCGTAGCGTCTGGAGGACCAGGTTCTAGGGCAGGGGAAAGAGAGGTCTTGGCTGAGCTCGCCCCCCATTATGCCACACAGGCAGTGAGCAGTTGGACCTAAGAGAAGCAGGATAGCCCATCACACCACGCTGGTGAAAGGGGGTGTGGTCCTGATTTTGTCCTGAAGAGCCAGGCATTTAACTCCCTGGAGGAGAGAGAAAGGAAGGGTACCTTGGGGGAAACCACTTGCATAATCCCTTTCTGGCCTAAAGAGACAGAGGCTGAAACCTGCTTATGACTCCCAGGTAAGGTGCCGAGCCCAGGGGTGGCCCTTTAAGGTCCCTCCCCGCCAACTACTCTAGGGCAGGGGCTAAAGTGTGAGATGGGTCTGGTGGGGAAGAGCCTCCCCCGGGGTGGGGAGGCCTAGGATGGGTCTTCCCTCCCTGTGGGTCATCCCTGAGGCCTCAGCCCTCCTGGGGGAGCCAGCACCTTGCACTCCTGGGAGATGGAGTAGTTAGGTGGAAAAGTGACCTCCTTTTGAGTCTCTTTCAGCAGCTTCTTGAGATTGGTGTCATCAAAGGGCAGCCGGGCGACCACTAGAGTGTAGAGGATGACGCCCATGCTCCAGGTGTCAGACAGGAAAGGGTTGTAGGGCAAGCCCAGCAAGATCTCCGGGCACGCATAAGCAAAGCTGCCACAGTAGGTCTGGCTGAGGTGGTTTGTAAAGCAGTTCATTTGGCGGTAAGAAGGGCTACTGTGCACTGTCTGGTTAGAAGGCACCATCTTGGCGAAGCCAAAGTCCGATATCTTCACATTCTCCCGCTTGTCCAGCAACAGGTTCTCCAACTTTAAGTCCCTACCAGCAGCAGAAAGGCTGGGGGTCAGGCTGGGGAGAGGGCTTAGTATTAGACCGGGAGCTGAAGGGCCAGGGGTCAGAGGCTAGAGAAAAGGCAAGGTGGGAGAGCAGTACCTTTATGAGGATACAAGGTAGAGAGGAAAGAGCCATGGAGTTGTGAGCAGAGCCCAAAGGTGAGAGAGGATGGTACCTGAGGACCACAGGGGGCTCGTCATTGTAGTTCAGAGTGCCGTGCTCACGGTGGGCGCTACAGAAACGTTCTTGAGCAGAGAATTAAGATAGAGGGGATGAATGGGCCTAGATAACTGAGGGAGGTCAAGGGAGGAACAAAGAGGGCAGAAAGTGGGAAACATGCATAAAACCCCCCCGAGAGCCCAAAGGCCCAGCCTGGCTGGCAGCGCCCTCACCGGTGCACGATGCCCTTGCTGTGCAGGTAGGCGATGCCCAGGGTCATCTGGGAGAACCACTTGCCAGCAAGGGGCTCAGAGCAAGCCCCGTATCGCTGGATCCACTCGAGGACATCACCGCCCTGAGCCAGCTCCAGAATGATGTATACTCGGGATGTGGTTTCGATGGCCTGGTAGAAGTTGATGAGGTACTTGTGCCGCAGGACCTTCATGACCTGGCCCCGGAAGAGGGACCCATCAAACCTGGGGAGGGAGAACCCGGGCTGTGCTCCCAGGCCTCCTGCTGTCCCACGGCTAACTTAACTTAGAACTCTGCAAGCGGATTAAACTCCAGAGGGCTGGGTGATCTGTGGGCAAACCCTCGGCTTTGGACTTCTACTTTGTGAGGGGCTGGAGGTGAGTGGGTGGGTGGAAAGAGGTTGAATTTACATCAAGTCATTTTCCTGCTGCTTAGTGAGACATTCAGGCCTGCGGGGGGTGTGGGGGGGTGTTCTCACTCCACCCCCTCCTAACCACACCCCTTCTGAGAAGTTTTAAGCAGCTTGGTCTCAGTTCCCTTTCCAACCTGTATCTCACGGGGCAGGAACTTGTTAAGATAGTCCTCAGAGGCCTTCTTCTTTGAGATGATCTTGACAGCCACCATGACCTTCTGCTTTGTGTAGTAAGCCTCATACACCGTCCCGTAGGAGCCATTGCCAATGACCTTGCCCACCTCGTAACCATAGTCCTCCATGACGGAGCGGTAGGCTGAGGTAGGTGGTGCTACCTCCGAGGTGTCTCCCTTCCCCATGGTGTTGGGCTTGCTGAGAGCAGGGAACTGTGCTACTTCGAAGCCTATTATCTGCTCAGAAAGCCAACCTTGAGCCACCGAGGGCTGGGGTAACAGAGTAAAGTTAGTCTCCAAATGCTTGCCTATATAGTCACGCGAGTCTGGGATGCTGGGCTCACCTCCCCACTGGGAACGTGGAGGGGGGAGAAGGGGGCAGCAGTTCTTTTTGTCTCCACTGGCTGTTGTTACTTCTTCCTCCTCCTGGTTATGGAATTCGCCAAGGTCCCATGTTCCGCATACATCACAATTCACCTTCTTTCCACCTTGGGCCACAAGGCCTGAGAATGAAGTGCACGGTGGAACATATTCCTGGGGGCAGCTTCTGCAGTCTGGTGAGACCCCCCCACACAGATCTAGTCCCTTCAACCATTCATCTCCATTGAGAGCACCCACTGTGTGCCAGGCCGTGCACTGAGTAGGGATAAAACAGCTAATAACGCCAACAGAGACCCTGTACTCAGAGTTTATTATCCAGAATGAGAAACCTGCGTGTGAGAATATGACAGAGAATCGCAAGGTGTTGTAGAAGCCTATTCTAAGGAATCTTAACCTTACAATGTTTTTTGTTTGTTTGTCTGGCTTAAAGCAACCACCCTTTTATTTATTCATTTATTTTCTGGCAAGTTGAGCTGTGCTCAGTTGGGTGGTTCTTCTGGTGGTCTCATCTTAGCTGGGGTGGTTTGTTTCTGCTGCATATGGTCTCACTATCCAGCGGACTAGCCAGAGTTCCTCCACATAGTAGCACAGAATTACATGAGGAAAAAAAAAATCAGAAATTGCATGATCAATTAAGCCCAGACTCCAAAATTGCAGAGCATCACTTCCATACCTTTATACAAGTAAAGACAGTTTCAAGGTTACAAGGATCCCAGATTGAAGGGGTGGAATAGACTCCACCTGGGAACTCTGAAATGCATTCTTATCTTCCCATGACCCTAAGTTCTGTACTTTTCCTCCTATCCCTCTAGCCATTCCTCAGGCTTCACTGGAGCCTTATCTTCTCTGTCTGTCCCTTAATCATATCTGGAAGGTTCTACCACAGGCCTTATTTCCTCAGAGCTTTATGTCCTCCCATTAGGATCTCACCCATTTCCCAACACTTTAGTTATTACATCCATGCTGACTCCTCCTAATCTCATCTCTATCCCAGATGTCCTCTGGAGTTCCAGATCCAGCATCCAGTTGCTTACTGGACATCACATGGACATGTCTCTCTCAGGTATCTTAAACTCACCATGTCCAAAATTCAACTCTTTCTGTTCTTGCCCTAGACGTCCTCTGTTTTGTTTTGGTTTTTTTAAGATTTTATTTATTTGACAGAGAGAGAGAGCACAAGCAGGGGGAGCGGCAGGCAGAGGGAGAGGGAGAAGCAGGCTCCCCGCTGAACAAGGAGCCCAATGTGGGGCTCCATCCCAGGACCCTGGGATCATGACCTGAGCCGAAGGCAGATGCTTAACCGACTGAGGCACCCAGGCACCCTCTGTTGAATTCTATACTCATCTTCAATTTACACACCCAGTCATCCTAGATCCTTCCCTCTGCCTCAGCCCCTACATCCAATCTGTCACCTCTTCTACCTCTTAAAACTATCTTTAATAATACACTCCAGGCTCTTGAAGCGGCTGCCACCACCTTAGGTCAAGCCTCCATCAACTGATCACTCTAGCATGGCTTCTGCTCCCCTCCAGTCTGTCTTCACCCTGAACTCCAAGGCATAACACGGATTTGATTCCCACTTAAAAACAATTCAGTGCCTCCCCATTTGCCTCAGGATCAAGTCCAAATTCTTTTATATGGCTTCAACATCTGACCCTGCTTAGCTCTCCAATTTTATCTTTAAAGATTTTATTTTTATTTATTTGACAGAGAGCACAGCAGGGGGAGCGGCAGAGCAGAGGGAGAGGGAGAAGCAGGCTCCCTGCTGAGCAGGGAGCCCAATTCAGGACTCTATCCCAGGACCCTGGGATCATGACCCAAGCCGAAGACAGATGCCTGACGATTGAGCCACCCAGGCGCCCCTAAATAGAATCTTTAAAAAAAAATATTCAAGCACCTGTACCCAAGATGCTAAAAAAATCTTAACACTGTTAAAATCATGTGTCTATAAATTGTTTTTTTAACCTCAGTTGGACCCCCAAATGCTGCCCAGTGATCCTGCTCATTTTCCAGATCAGCTCGCTTCCATTCTCCACAACCCATTCTTCTCAAACCTCTTAACTTCATCTCCCTCTTCTGGTTAGTTGACCTTCCTTACAGCCCTAATGGGAGATGCAAGCAGAAAAAACACAATTACAGACACTACGTTAGATGCTGTGACAGAGAAAGTACTGGGGCTCTGGGAGCACCCAGAAAGGAGGAACATCCAGTTTGGGCTTGAGCAGTCAGTAAAGGTGTCCTTAAAACAGCTCATGAGCTAAGTCCTCAAGGCAGAGTAGGGGTTTGCCAGGACAGAGGGAACAATGAAGGAAAAGTAATTCTGTTTGGCTGGAGCACTGCATGTATGTTAAAAGATAAAATTGGGGGTGCCTGGGTGGCTCAGTGGGTAAGCATCTGCCTTCAGCTCAGGTCATAAACCCAGGGTCCTGGGATTGAGCCCTGCATCAGGCTCTCCGCTCAGGGAGCATGCTTCAATTTATTTATTTGACAGAAAGGGAGAGAGCACAGCAGGGGTAGCAGCAGAGGGAGAGGGAGAAACAGGCTCCCCGCTGAGCAGGGAGCCCCATGTGGGGCTCGCCTTGCTAGAGGGGTTACCTGGATTTAAGACTGTGTGTGTGCAGGGTGGGGGGTGGCATGCAGGGGAAAGGACAAAAGAAGAATCAGATTTATTTTCTATCTTCCAAAAAAAAACAACTCCAAGAACAGATTGTGCCGTAGGCTACTGGTAAATTCCTGTTTATTGACAGCCTGCTGATCCTGCTGGCAGGGTAGTTCCAGAGTTTGTTGGAAGCTAGATCTACATTCTCAAACTGCCAAGATGAGTTGTCCAGGACACACCGTGGTAAGGAGGCCCACTCTGCCCCGCCCATCTTCTGCTCCTCTGGATAGGTAGCTTGGTGGCAGCTCTGTCCTCATCATGTCCAGCGGGTAAACCAGTTTATTCAAAAAACGTGTATTAAGCTGCCTACTTTATACAAAAGCACTGCTAAGTCCTGAGGATATCAAGATGGATAAATTACAGTCTTCCTGTGAGTAGTTAGTAATTAGCAAGGAAAACAGACACATAAGTGAAATAACAGTACAGTGAGATAAATTGCTATAAACAAAGACTGGAAGATGTAGAGGCAGGCTTTATAGAGGAGGCATTTGTACTGTTCAAGAGGAGTCTCCAGGCAGGTAAGTAGGGAATGGTAGATGGGGCAGTCTAGGCCAAAGCAACTATATGAGCTTGCAGGCTTGAGAGAACATGACATTCGAGATTCTAATTTGAATACAATTAATGTACCTGGAGAAGTAATGAAGATCCAGGTCTGACAGGCCTCACATACCAAGCTTTTTAGAGTTTATCCTATGTACTCATGGTCAAATTTTGGTCGAAATAGTCAAAGTCAGAGCCTGTTAGAAAATGATGCCTAGTCACCTCCTCCTCTAAGATCCTGATTTCGTGGACCCAGATCTCCATGTTTTTAATAAGCTTCTAGCTGAATCTGATGCACACCAAGATCTGAGAACCACTGTTGCAGGAAATAGTATATATAGTGTGTATATGTATGAATCAGCAGCAGAGTGGAAAATGGATCCAAGAGGGGAGGTGACCAGGAGACTAGCAAGGTGGTTGTCATGGTAATTTAGGTGCAAGAGGATGAGACCTGAAGCTAGGCAGCCAGGGAGGGCAAGTATTTGGAAGATATTGAGGAAATAAGCAGCAGGGGGGCTTGGCGGCATTGATCTGAGGAGGCTGGGGGTTGGGGCGGGGGAGTAAGTGAGAAAGAGTCCCGGGTTTCTGGCTTCTCTAAGTTACTTTTCTAATTACAAAATTCACTGATTTATCTAAAAAACTCAATCTCCTACTTCCTAGAACTTCACCTCCTCCTCCTGTAGGGAGGAGGGCTGGGTCAGAGAGGGCAGAAGAGGGTAAATGGAGGACTTTTCAGGCCAGAAGCCACTTAAGATTTTCCCCTGTACTACTTTCCGTAAAGAGAACCTTAAGTCTGCATCCTTTTTTTTTTTTTTTAAGATTTTATTTATTTATTTGAGAGAGAGAATGAGATAGAGAGAGCATGAGAGGGGGGAGGGTCAGAGGGAGAAGCAGA